CCAGAAGCTGCCAGATATGGTATTAACTCTATCAGTAAGCACTCTGAAAGTCAGTGCCATAAATGCACCAATTAAAAGACAGATTATGAGGGTGAATCAAAAACAAAACCCACTTTAAATATAAAGACACATATAGATTAAAAGTAAATGAATTAAGCTGCAGCCTGTTTTGCTCAGTGGATAGAGCATTAGCCCGTGGACTGGAGGGTCCCAGGTTCGATTCCAGTCAAGAGCATGTACCTCAGTTGCTGGCTTGATCCTCAGTCCCTATCAAAGCATGTGCAGGAGGCAACCAATCAATGTGTCTCTCCCTTTCCCTTCACTCTCTCTAAAATTCAATGGAAAAATATCCTTGGGTGAAGATTAACAAAAACAAAGTAAATGGATTAAGTAACATTAAAGAGATTATAAGAAAAATATATTCTAAATTTTGTTAGTTGTATAATGGTTATGTTTAAATTATTAACACCTAAGAAATTGCATGAAGGGTACATACAATATGCTGTAGTATTTCGTAGTTTTTTTTACATGTATGAGATTATTTCAAATTAAAATATTAAAAAATTAAAAATTAACAAAATATTAATTGAAATGTATCTGCATTACATGAAAAATCTCCTAATTGCTTCTAGCATAATTTATTATATTGTGCTAAAATTTACAAGGGTTCAATTAAAAATATCTTAATTCTAAATGATATAATAGAAAATATATAATAGTGCAGTTATAAGCACTTACCTGAAAATAAAAATTTAAAGAAGTGAATTTAAAGAAGGGCTTAGCCAAAGAAAATATATGCACAACCCATGGACACAGACAACAGTATGGTGATGGCCAGAGAGAAGTCGGGGGTAAGAGCTGGGTAGAGGGGCAAATGGGGGGGGGGGCGGGAAATAGGGACATCCTATATAATAATAAAAGGCTAATATGCACATTGACTGAACGGCAGAATGACCGGTTGCTATGATGCACACTGTGCACCAGGGGGCAGACGCTCAATGCAGGAGCTGCCCCCTGGTAGTCAGTGCACTTCCATATGGGGAGTGCCACTCAGCCAGAAGCTGGCTCATGGCTGGCCAGCGCAGTGGTGGTGGCAGGAGCCTCTCCATCCTCCGTGGCAGCACTAAGGATGTCCAACTAACGGTTTAGACCTGATCCCTCGGGGACCTAAGCCTTTAGTCAGACATCCCCCGAGGGCTCCCTGACTGCCAGAAGGATGTCTGACTGCAAGCTTAGGCCTGATCCCCTGTGGAGTGGGCCTAAGTCGACAGGTGGACATCCCCAAAGGGGTCCTGGACTGTGAATGGGTGTAGGCCGGGCTGAGGGACACCCCCCCACACCCAAGTGCACAAATTTTTGTGCACTGGGCCTCTAGTATGTATATAAAAGCCTAAGCGACTGTTTGACCATTCAACCATTTGACCGTTCAACCATTTGACCAGTAGCTATGACGTGCACTGACCACCAGGGGGCAGGTGCTCAATGCACAGGCATGGAACCATGGAACAGACTGATGAATCTCAGAGGGAAAGGGATAGGGGGGAGGGCAGGAAGAGATTCACCAAAGATCTTATATACATACTAGAGGCCCGGTGCAGGGATTCTTGCACCAGTGGGGTCCCTTGGCTTGCTCTGCAGAGATCAGGCCAAAACCGGAAGTCCAACATCCCCTGGGGGGTCCCAGATTGCAAGAAGGTGCAGGCCAGGCTGAGGGACCCCACTGGTGCAGGAATCTGTGCACTGGGCCTCTAGTTAATAAATAATAATACAAGAATAAATTTTGTGTTTCATGTACTCACATCTGTGAATCTACTTTTGCCCCACCCTGTATTGTAGTTTTCAGCATACAGGCATTATATATGGGTTTTATAAAAGGAATACATAAGTATTTAATCTTTTTATACTACTGTAAATGTTACTTCTCCTTTCAATTTTAATTTCAATTGTTCTTTGTTAGTATACTAGTATTTACTAACTGATTTTTACATATTGATCTTGTATCCCATGATTTTGCTAAACTCACTAGTTATAGTAGATTATGTGGATTCCTCAGGTTTTGCAACATAGGTAATCATGCTGTATATAAATAGAGTATTTCCTTTTCAATCCCTATGACCATTTATTTGTTTGTTTACTGAATTTGCCAGGACCACTAGTATGATGTTAAATAGAAGTGATCTGACATCTTTGCCATGCTCCTGTTCTTAGAGGAAACATTGATTGCTTCATCATATATATAATTTTAGCTGTAGATTTTTCATAAATGCTGTTTATCAGGTTGAGGACATTTTATCCTATTCCTAATTTCCTGAGAGTTTTTTGATAAACAAAAATTGAATTCTTTCAAATGATTTTTTCTGCATTTATTTGGTCGTATGATTTTTTTTCTTTATTCTGTTAATGTGGTAAACTGTGCTGATATTTTCAAATGTGAAACCAACCTTGAATTCCTGGGATAAACACAAGTTGGTCATCTTTTTAAGTGTAGGTGAATTTGATTCAATATTTTGTTAAGATTTTTACATCTAGGTTAATGAGGGATATTAGTGTATAATTAAAAAAAATTTCTTGTTTGATTTTGGCATCAGGGTTATGCTGCCCTCATTAAATAAATTGAGACATATTCCCTCCTCTAATTTTATAAGAGAGTTTGTGTTTATTTCTTATATATCTGATGTAATTCATAATTTAAGGCATCTGAACCTAGAGTTATTTGTTTTAGCATGGCTATTAATTGTGAACTCCGTTACTTTGTTTGTATAGGGCCAGGCATATCTTCTTTTGACAATTTTGGTAATTTCTATTTTTAAAAGAAATTTGACATTTACCTCAAGTTATCAAATATCGGCATAAAGTTGTTTGTAATTACCCCTTATCTTTTCATTGTCTCTAGGATATATAATAATGTTTCCTCTTTCATTCCTGATACTAGTATTCTGTGGTTCCTTCTTTTTATTCATCCATCTAGCAAGGGTTTTATAACTTTATTAACTATTTTAAAGAACCAACTTTAATATGATTGATTTTCCCCCTGCTGTTATTTGCTTTTTGTTTTATTGCTTTCTGCTTTTATTTCTATTATTTTATTTCTACTTTTAACATTGAGTTTCATTTGTTCTTTTTTATCTTCTACTATTCATCTTAAAATTTGCTTCTTTTCCATAAGCTTTTAAATCTATAACTTTTTGGTAAAGTCCATTTTAGCTACATCTCACACATATTGACACTTTTCATTATCATTAATTTAAAAAATATTTTCCATGTAATTTTCTTTCTTGACACATGTTTTATAAGTACTGTGCTGTTTAATTTCCAATCTCTAGGGTTTTTCTAGGCATAAACTTTTCTTAGATATCATTGATAGTTTTATATCATTATCATATATTAATTTCTAAAATTAGCCTACTGCTCTCAGGGACAATACTATGTGGATTTCAGTAATTTAAAACTTATTGTGCCCTGCTGGTGTGGCTCAGTGGTTGAGCGTAGACCCATGCAACAAGGGGTCACTGGTTCAATTCCTGGTCAGGGCACATGCCCCTGTTGTGGGCTTGACCTCCAGCAGTGCAGGAGGCAGCCCATAGATGTTGATGTTTCTCTCATGGATGTTTTTCCCTCTTTCTCCCTTCCTTTCCTCTCTAAAAATCAATAAAAACATATTTAAAACCTCACTTCCTGGCTTCTTTTAAGATTTTCTTTGACTTTTTTGCTGTTTGAATATGATGTGACTAGGTGTAGATTTTGTTTAAGTCAGATGCTTGGTGCTGTCTAAGTTTCTTGGATCTGTGGTTTGGTGTTTGTCATAATTTTGGAAAACTTTCAGCCATTATTATGTCAAAAATTTCTTCTGTTTTAGAGGCCCAGTGCACAAAATTCATGCACAGTTAGGGTCCCTAGGCCTGGCTGGCAATCAGGGCCGATCGGAGCCTTCTGGCTGCCGGCCAGGGCTTTCCTTCTGGCTACTGGCCGGAGCCTCCCTTCCCTGGCTGCCAGCTGCCAGCCATCGCCTTATGGTGGTCAGCGCACATCATAGTGAGCGATAGAACTCCTGGTCTTGTGGTTGAACTTCTGAGGGGACACTTTGCATATTAACCTTTTATATACATAGATTCCATGATGATGATGATGACCATGATGATATGATGATACAGACATTTTTAAAACGTGTCTGCACACTCACATCTTGAGGGCCTTTGCCCTGCAGTCCCCTCGGTCTGTGCTGTTGCCCACACAGCTTCCTTCCTCCCTTCATTCAGCATGTGTGTGAGTCGCTGGAGTGGTGAGATCTCCTCTGAGCTTTGTATATAAAAGCACAGCCCTTCCCTGCTGCTTTCCCCTGGCCCTGCTTTATTATTTTTCTTTTTTTTAAAATATATTTTATTGATGTTTTTACAGAGAGAAAGGGAGAGAGATAGAGAGTCAGAAACATCAATGAGAGCGAAACATCGATCAGCTGCCTCCTGCACACCCCCCACTGGGGATGTGCCCGCAACCCAGGTACATGCCCCTGACCGGAATCGAACCTGGGACCCTTCAGTCCACAGGCCGACGCTCCATCCACTGAGCCAAACCGGTTTTGGCTATTATTTTTCTTTAGCATGTATGACTATCTGACATATTACCTGTTTAATTGTTATTTTTTATTCTTTCCAGTCTCCTTCAACTGAAACGTTGGCTGTATAAGGAAAGGGTCTGTCTTAAAATTTTCAAAAATTAAATTGGTTTTAGGGCAGTTTTCTCTATAGTATATATGCAAAAGGAAGTACTGTGCAGCTCTTTCCATTTTTTCCCAAGAATATTGTCTGACATTGAGAAACGTTTACATACCACAATCACACCCCTGTGAAAGCTGCCATAGAGGATACGGAAGAGTAAAAGGGACCACGTGACCAGGGCAGGATCCACAGTGTGAGGATGGCCCGCGGCTTAAGCCCAGGTCTGCCTGAGAACAGAGCCCCCTGCCTGAGCCACATGTAACGTTTCCTGACCTTCTCTTTCAGTATGAATACTTCAATGCTGTGCTGATCAATGAAAGGGACAAAGACGGGAACTTTTTGGAGCTGGGGAAGGAATTCATCTTGGCCCCAAATGACCATTTCAATAATCTGCCTGTGAACATCAGTCTCAGTGACGTCCAGGTGCCAACGAACATGTACAACAAAGGTAAGCCTCAGGGCGCTCCTTTCAGGGGCGGAGAGGAGGTGGTGAGGTGTGGGGCTGGCCGGTTTGGGACATTATGTTATTTTGAAAACCACAATTATACTCTGGGTATGTCAGCGTGGATAGGTGCAGTGTGTGCTTGATCTGCCTGGAGACTCTGGCTTGCTACTTCCCCATGCTGTTTGCAGGAGCTCTCTGACAGCCAGTCCAGGGTTGGCAAACTTGCTTCTGTAAAGGGCCCAATAGTAAATATCTCTAGCCTTGAGGGACATCTAGCCTGCTCACAGCTATTCAACTCTGCTGTGCTGGCACAAACGCAGCCTTGGCGACAGGTAAGTCAGTGGATGTGGCTGTGTTTCAGTAAAACATTCACCTACAAAAAACAATGTCCGGATTGGACCTGTAGGAGTCACTCCCTGACCTGTGGTGGAGCCTCTCTCTCCCCTTCCTCTATTCCCTGTAATGGTAGTTAAGTGTTCAGGAACGCCTGGGGTTGCAACAGAATCAGTTGTGGTCTTTCTTAGAGTACAAAGCAGCAGGGACCTCAGGGGCTCCCTGTTTTCAGGCTTGTGGCCCTCAAATCCAGCCTTCACATAAGGGTCTAAGGATATGCCCATTGGGGTTGGGATTATCTTGGCCGAGGACTGGGCTCTAGCAGCAGATGGACTCTGGTTAGACCCTGGGTTTCACCTCTGAATGGCTGTGACCTTGAGTGCACCACCTTCTCTCCTGAGACCTTAGTTTCCTCTTCTGTAGAATGTGGATAATAACTGTGTCTACCTCATGGGGTGGCTGTGAGGACTCAACAGAGGGTGTGAATAAAAGCTTACGGTAATGATGTTGCCCTTGTCATCATCACCATCACTGAGCTGGATTTTGCTCTGCTTTGTCAAACCTGGGAGGCTCCTAAAAAAGAGCCATTCCCTCAGAAAAATACTTCAGAAAATGATGGCATCTTCAAAGTAAAATTCTGCCCTGCTGCCTACCATTGTGGTTTCAAAAATATCAGGGGCCAGTGTCCATCACCCACCCAGCTCCGATTCACCTACAATTGCTCAGTGGTCCAGAGAAGGCTGTGGGTTTGATTCCTGCTCCTCCCCTCGCTGGATCCTGAGCCTCAGTTTCCCTCTGAGATGAGGATGCCAGCTCCCTCAGAGGGCCATTGTGAGGCTGTAAAACGATGTGGGTGCAGCCTTCACACAACAGCGACTCATGAAAGTGCTCAGTCATAGTGCCATCGCTATTATTGGGAAACAACATGACCATGAGTTGCATTTCTAAATTGTTCTAGGTCCCTGTTTACAAAGGCTGGTCAGTGATTAAAGAACCTCCTCCTCACTGTCTCTGAAGCATGCCTCTCGCGGCTGTGCTTTGTGGCTGGATACCTGATGTCTTCCTTTCCTTGTTAACCTGTTACCCATCCTTAATCCTCAGTGGGGGCAGGACTCCATTCGTGAATTATTCCCATGGTTTTGGGGCACCACATGGTGAAGCAGACGCAGCCCCTCTCCTGAGGGGTTCACACTTTACTTGGGGAACAAATAGGTAATGAGATCATTAGTTAGCGGTCACCTTTATGAAAAGCCAGGGGCAGTGGGAGTGCCAAGGAGGGGCCCTGCCACTCGCTCATGTGGCAGCCACACATTTGCCATTTTCTCTCTTCCTCCTGGAGAAAGTGATGTCAGTCTGAACCACCTCTGCTGGGCTCTGGACTGGGCCACGTGACCTAATCTTCAGTTTGGACTCTTCCTTAGAGAGCAGATTCCTGAGCACCCGAGCCTGAGGGGCTGAGCTCACGTCTCTGGTAGGATTGAGTCCTCTAGGACGGTCTTGTCAGCGAGGCAGGAAGGCCCCTTTGCGCATCGTGCCTGGAAGAAAGCCATCCTCTCAGCATTAAATACACACTCAACTGAAGATGAAAAATTAACAAGATTTTACAGAGCAATTTCAGATATAAAACAATTCAGAACGATCTTTTAAAATATGACAGCTGCTTCAAGGTTGCCGGAGCCATTAGCACCATTATGGAGAGAGATTTAATTGCACCGTAAGCTTTAAAGGCATAATTGCACCTTTCGGGGGCAACAGCATATGAGGGGCCAGCACTGCCACTGATCACATAGGCTGTGGGGGTGGCTCTGAGTCTCACCAGGCGAATCCTAAAAGCCCAGGCAAGGGCAGCGGTCTATGAGGCGGACGTGGGCCCTGTGGGAGCTTCACTTGAGCTGTGGAGGTAGGTGATGATGTTTAAAGTCATTCTCAGCAGCGCTGTGGGGTCTGCCTATCGCCCCCACCCAGACTCACTGGTCCCCGGCGGTGGGGTCAGTCAGGCTCTATCCCTTGTCTAGTCTGCTAGGCAGCGCAGAGCTGCCCAGGGGAGGGGCTTCAGGAAAATTCCTGTCTCCATTCTACCTAATTCAAACCAGCCCCAAACCGTCTTTTTTCTTTTCAAGCTGCAGAGATGTATTTTATGTTTAGAGGACCCTCCAGCTCTGATCCAGTTTTTGATGACATGTACTCAACACACATGCTCAGAGCTTGGTCCCTGGCTGTGATGCTCCTGGGTTAGGAATCTTACTCCCCACAAAGGAAACAATGCCGGGTCACGCTCTCCCATGGGGCAGCTTGGACCCCGGGGGTGCACGTGGTTTGAGACTTGCTTGGGAGCTGCTGTGTGTGGGAAGCGCTGTGCCAAGCTGGGGGTGACAAGTCCCACTTACTCGGCTGCCTCTCTGGGCGCGAGGTCCGAGAGAATAGGCACCTGGTCCCTCAGGATCCCCTCGGCTACTCTCAGGTCACCTTGGGGACTGGGAAGATTTGCACAGGCTGAGACCCCAGGCCTTAGGTTTCACCCCTGCAGGTCCATTACCCTCCTTCCTTCTGAAGCATAAATATTCCCGGCACTGTTAGGAGGTGGGGACAGGCTCCGCTCTAGTGAGACCCCAGGTCCATCTCCAGTGTCATGTCTCTCTGGCTGCCCTCTGCCTCCTCTCCTTTGCACACCACGGCTCCCTGCCCAATAACTGCACTGAGATGAGATGCCCACACTCACTGGGGAGAGCTTCTGACTTATGTAGCTCACACATGTCAACCCTGCAAACATCCTGGGAGCAAGAACTACAGAGGCTCTGACTACCGGCCTGGGAGAGAAAGGGGGAGAGAGCAGAGAGAACAAACTAAATGTTGTCTCAGTGCAATATGTCATCTGTTCCTTCGTTTGTGCTTTCCATCCTTCATTCATTCATCAGACATTGTCTGTGCCAAGCTCTACAGATCCATCCATGACTAGGACAGACATGGGCCCTGCCCCGAGCAGTGGGGAGAGACAGTACTGAGCAAGGTATGACCAGCGTGACAGGAGTTGCGAAGGCAGAGTGCGGCGCTGACCTGGTCCTGGCCTCCCAGAGATGAAGAGAGGAGGAGACAGGCAGGAAGGGAGTCATTGGTAGTGAAGTGTGTCCCACAGAAAGACTAAACTATGAGCAGGTATCCAGGTGGGCGAGTGTGGGGCAGGGACTCTGAGAGTGAGGAAGTGGGGTGTCAGGGAGGCTGTGGAGGGAGTAATGATGGGCTGGCCCCCAGCGGCTGCGGCAGGAGTGGCCGCCCCTCTATGGGAGTCAGAAAGGTAACTATGGGGCCCAGGAGGGCTGGCCAGGTGGTGAGAGGCTGCGAGAGCCATCAGAAGATCATGGAAGCGTTGGGGCCTGGTACCATCTGATTGGCCGCTTTCCTGAGAACAGGTGTGTGCTGGAACAGGTGTGCGCTGGTCCCATCCACACTGAAGGAGAGGACAGAGGGAGGGAAGGAATCCAGGGCACAGAATGAGAAAACCCGGGGGAGAGGAATGGTGCCTGGCCTGTTGGATGACTAAGGTGAGGGCTCTCGGGCCTGGGCAACCTCCATCGAGAATATTAGCTCCCTGAGGGCAGGGACCTTATCTGTTTGTTTTCTGATGATTTCTCAGCCCCAGCCTGGGACTTAGCACATAGTAGGGGCTCAATAAATATTTATTGCAAGGTGAGCAAAGGAAAGAAGAGTGCACATTAAAACACTTTGTTTTGATATGTATGAAGAAAAGACACCTGAAATAACTCTACATCTTTTTTTAAAAATATATTTTATTGATTTTTTACAGAGAGGGAAGGAGAGAGAGAGTTAAAAACATCAATGAGAGAGAAACATCGATCAGCTGCCTCCTGCACTGGGGATGTGCCCGCAACCCAGGCATATGCCCTTGACCGGAATCTAACCTGGGACCCTCCAGTCTGCAAGCCGACGCTCTATCCACTGAGCCAAACCAGTTTCAGTGACTCTACATCTTGATTCCCCTCCTCCAGCAGTAACGGAAGGCAGGGGGACAGGTGGCCTGCCTGGTAGGCATAGGGGAGGTATGAATTGCGGGATACAGCCTAGGCCCCTGGTCGGCAAACTGCAGCTCGCGAGCCATATGCGGCTCTTTGACCCCTTGAGTGTGGCTCTTCCTAAGCCTTAGGAGTACCCTAATTAAGTTAATAACAATGTACCTACCTATATAGTTTAAGTTTAAAAAATTTGGCTCTCAAAAGAAATTTCAATCGTTGTACTGTTGATATTTGGCTCTGTTGACTAATGAGTTTGCCGACTACTGGCCTAGGCCATCCCTTTATCTTCTTGTCAGGGAACCTCGTCAGACAAGACTGGGCTGTATGTGGAGGTCCAGCCCCTGAAAATGAAAACAGGTTCAGGGAAAGGGACACTCATCACCACCATCACAGAGGAATCATTCTGTCTGTTACAGTCCAATAGGTTCTTCTAAAAGCCCAGGCAAGGGCAGCAGTCTATGAGGTGGACTTGGGCCCTGTGGGCGCAGAGCTCGCTGCTGGGAGGTGGACTTGGGTCCTGTGGGCACAGAGCTCACTGCTGGGAGGTGGACCTGGGCCCTGTGGGCACAGAGCTTGCTGCTGGGAGGTGGACCTTGGCCCTGTGGGTGCAGAACTAGCTGCTGGGAGGTGGACCTTGGCCCT